TAAATTCCACTAAAAAGTTCAGGAATTCACAGAGACTCAGAAAACCCTTGTATGCAAAAACTCCCACAATGGAAGCTATCCTTATGATTATTCAAGTTAAGGAGCTCTGCATGCACTAGAAGTCATCACTTCTGGAGAGAATCAATTCTCATCACACTAACACAAAAATGCAATCACTGGTCAAATGTTAGGTGAGTTAAAGCTGAAGTCACCCTATACCTGGGTGACATCAATGACATCCTAGGCAGCACCCATCACCCATCTCTCACCCCCTATGCCCGGTAGCGCTTCCCCGTTCTTTATATAGCAGCCAGAGTGACTTATTTTAAAAAAAAATCTGATCATCTCGTTGCCTCTACTGACTGAATACCATCTTTGGAACAGATCCCTAACCCTGCTCAGATCCCACAATGCCCCCAGGACCTGACTCATTCTGCCACCTGGGGCTCCAGTGGTCCAGGTAAGTCTGAGACTCTACACTTACTGTCACTTTCTAACTTTATCCACATCTTCATTTCTCTTCACTCCCTTATCCCTACCTGCTATTAGATATTCATCAGTTTCCTGATCCCGTTACCCTTGTCAGGATATAAGCTCCATCAGGAGTTCAGGGGTTTCTGAATACTCCTAGCATACAGGAAAGAATTTTAAATGAACACTTTCTACTTGCCAGACTTTGTCTGAGGCAAAGGGATACAAAGTTGCATGACAGATTGGGATCGGTTTTCTTTTTTTTTTTTCCTGCCTTGGAGAACTTAGAATGTAGCAGTAAGTACAATGAAAGGTGATAGGAACTGGAAGTGTTCGAGGGAGACTGTGGGGTGGAGTACTGGAGATGAGGTAGGGCAGATTGGAAAACCATGGGAAGAGGTAACAGATCAGAAATTAGAACCGACACAACTCGGTGACTATTTGTATATAAGGAACTGGGGAGTCCTAGGTCTCTAGGAAATGCCACTGCTCAGTAAAATGGGAGAAGAAATTGGAAAGAAAAAGATGGCAACTCCTGTTTTAGGTACCTCTGATTACCATACTAAGTTATATGATTTCGCTGCTGGCTAGCAGATTCGTGAAGTGGAAATTCTATACTCCTGTTTCTTGACGTTTTTTCGAAGGTATTGAGACTGCTCTGAGCCACACGACTCAACACAAGTGCCACTGTGTAGGCCCTGGTTTAGCCATGCATGAAAGGTCCTTCCCAAATTTGTACGTTTAACATATTCTTTATCATGCTTTCTGAAAAGGGATACCTGTTTTGCAGAGAAGTCTGACACAAATGCAGAGGTTTTCCAGGAATTTTTCCTAGTCAGTGGCTTGAAAGTCCAATTCTAAATAGGGAGACAACATTATTCACAATTTTAAAAAGAAAAGTTTCTTAAGGACAGGTTTTATTTTTTTGCTTTCCACTTCACAATGTCATGGAAATTCCACGTGGATAAATGTATGTATGTATGAGCACATGGATATAAACAGATATAATGGGGAGATATTAAGAATGAAAGTAAGCCCCCCAAAATCTTTTTTAAGTACCATCTAATCTTAAAACTTATGGTGAACAGCTAAGGACAATTATATACAACATAAGGATAGAACCAAATGTCACAATGTCACGAATTCAGCGTATGAATGACCGTTTTGTTTTTGAGGAAAATTACCCAAATTTCAGTGATTTCCTTTTTCCAATATATCATCTTCTAACAGTTTCAGCTTCTGATTCTTCTCTATGAAACAAAACTTACAGAAGCAAAAGGAACAGGTGGATTTTTTTTAAAGGGCTCCAAGACATTTAAAATCAAAGTAAAACACCTGGGGTGGGAATTACCAGCTAAAAAGACTTAACTCCTCTGAGCCCTATAAAATGTGTTTCTGGTGGAGGTTGGGGAGAAGGGACAAGACTCAGAAGCGTCCAGCACAAACACAGGAAGAAGCCCATTGTATAAAGATTATTCCACTTCCCCAACAGACTGAATAAATACTGTCACACAGCCAAAGAATTCAAAACACGGGGTCTCTCTGACCAGACGTAACATTTAAATTTTCACAAGCATCAGGAGAAGATTCTTCATCCAATACCCACTGCGGGCCTGTCAAACTGTATCTTCCAGTAGAGGGCCCTAGAAAACCAGGGATGGACCCCATAAAAAACACAGGGCTAGGGGTGCTTATGACTATTACGAGAACAATCAGCTTCATGTCCTTGATTGCTCTTCTGCCAAGGTGGAAACCAGAGAGAGAACTTAAAAGAATCTGAGTTAGATATAATGTAGGGGGAAAAATGTCTTATTATTAGCTAATAACACTCAAACATAATTAGTCTACTCAGTAACATTAGAGACAAATGGAACTTAGCAGTACAGAATAAACAACAGAAATCAACCACACTGAGAGGTCATTAATTCATCCTGAAAAAACACAAGGCTCCGGACAAGGAGTGTCACTCACATCACCCAGTCTGTTAGGAGAAGAACAGGGCCCCAAATCAGGCAAGCTGCCTCTTAGCTCTGGGTTCACTGCGCCCAAAGCATTAACCAATTCACTTAATGTTGCTAACTCATGCTGAACACTTCAAATACATAAATGACTCAGCGCTGGTAAAACATACCGTAATGCATAAAGGCTAGAAAGCTTAAAGAGAAACAGATTCCAGGAAAAGTTCCTGCTAAGAGAAATAGAAATAGTGATACACTTTAAAGACATTCACCCTATGCTTAGGAGATTTCTCAGAACAAGAATGACATTATTAGAAAGCCACCGTTCTGTGAGAGATGACGTTGTGTAGGGTAGAACTCACACAATATTATGCTTTGAAGGCAGTACATGATTTGCTTGCATGTAAGAATTTTGATAAAAAATTGGGGAAATCAACCCTGTAAATAAGACAATTAAATCGAGGAAATTTTCAGGAAACAATTCGAGCTGAATTTGCTTCAAAAAGAAAGTAAGTCCTGGTATTTTTCTCAAATGGACCTTTAGGAAAAGAAGTTTCCAAGTCAAAGCAAAGCAGGGAGAGAACTCTAAAGGGCTACAGTGCATGATCATGTAGGAGGCCCAGGTTTAATCTCAGACATCACATGATACTCCAAGTTCCACCAGGGAGTGGCCCTGAGTGTCACTAAGTGTGGCCCCCAAACAGAACAAAAACAAAACAAAAATGTTTTGCATGCAGGAGCCCTAGCTTTGCTTTCGAGCATGGCCCAACCCCCTGAGCACTGTCTGGAATGAACCCTAAGCACTGAGCTGGGTGTGGCCCTACAGCCAAAATAAATGAATAAAAAACAAAAAACTGAACTTCAGCACCTGAAAAAACGCAATTAATAAATTCTTCGCATTTCAGAAGTCTAAAGCTGTCTGCTTAAACTCTGAAAAGTAAAGAAAACAGGAAAAGGTCTTCCTCCAAATCAAAGGCTGCTCAAATTAATGTTTCATTTTAAAATTCAGCTTAAATTCTAGGACTGTTAAATGACCCTCACATGAACACTAACCAACTAAATAACTTCCTTTATAAAAGGCTAATATAGTCCTTCTTGGCAACCAGTCAGAGCTGCTCTTATCCATCTGCAGGTATATAATTATAGGGGGAAAGAATACAGTTTTGATGAAATAGACCAGAGGGTAAAAAAAAAAACTTACCATTCCTGCTAGATAAATAAGTTCAGCACAAATTCTCAGTCTGCATATTTTTTTCTTGACTAAAGATCACTTTCTTAATATTTCAACCCACCATGTGGATCATGCACATAGAATTTCAGTGCCTTAACAAACCAATTTCTGGCTCCTATGTATTGAAGCCAGAATGATTCTGGTAACAGGAAAACAAGGCATCCATGATTAGAGGGAGGAGCTTAGCCGAACACGAACTCCCCAAGCAGACAGCTTGCTGGAGGGAAGCGGTGATGAGTTTAGTTTGAGATCTGAAACCGACTATGAACCCAGATGCACACATACCAATCTTGGAACCCAAGGGTTTCTGGCAGTAATCCCTCTAGGTTTATTACTAAAATATCAGAAATCCAAATTTGCTTGGCCGCTATTGTGGCCACATGACATCATATGCTCTTCATAATCAGCAACAGAAAACAAATTATCTAATGATGTCTTTGTGGCAGGTCTGAATGTTGGGGAAAATTCCAAATAACAGTGGTGGGTCTTTTGTTGTAATGTGATTAATGGAGAGAGGGAGGGAGGGAGGGAGAGAGAGAGAGAGAGAGAGAGAGAGAGAGAGAGAGGTGGAAATCTGCTACACAGGTGGGTGGGAGGGGGTATACTGGGGTTCTTGGTGGTGGAAAATGTGCACTGGTGAAGGGACGGGTGTTTGATCATTGTATGACTGACCGAGACTTGAACTGAAAGGCTTTGTGACTGTTCTCACAGGGATTCAATAAATAAATGAATAAAAGCCACTTTGAATCTACCTGAGACCAGAAAATGATGCTTTCTGAAAATCCCGAGAAACTTGAATGGAATAGTTACATCCTGCTTTGCATTCTAGTTGGTTGAAAGCCATGCAGTTTCCTCAGCATTTCACCTGCCTCAACAAAGTCATTCCCTGAGAACCCACTTTCCCAACAGCCGGAGTCACTCTGTGAAAAGCTCTTTAGTCATTGATGGGGGACAGGCCAGCTGTGTGTGACTTATTTGATAGGTTGTAATGCCACGAGTGGGTAACAGATCGTGGCTCAGTAGCCTGTGCTCTCTGAAGGTGTTTAAGGGTTTCTGCTGATAGGAAGTGAAAATATAGAAGACCATCTCAACAATCCTGTCCATCACTGTGTAGGGAAGCAGTAACACAGCATCTTCTTCAACGCTGCCAGAGGTTCAAGTGGATTCAAGGGTATGTGAGAACAAAGAAAAAGGGGAGGCCTGGAGGGCCGGGGAAGGAGAGGGAAGGAAGGGAAGACTCTGATTTCAACTACCTAAAGAATTTCATTTCCAAATAAAGACTATTAGACATCAACGGCGCCAACTGTCAATCGCAAAAGTTGAGTTTTAGCTTTACTTACTTGTATTTTAAGAGCAGCCACTGCATTAACCAGAGTGCTACAAGGATCATGCCGTTAATTTCACAAATAGAAAAGGCCCACTGCACCCGGTTAAAATGGTCAAAAAACGTGTCTGGTAGTGGAGGCTGCACCTCCTTAGGAGGTACTCGTTCATGGACGACCGAGATCATCACTGTGGTGAGAACAAAACAGGAAAGTGCATAAAGAAAGGCCAGAAATGTCTTGCCCCACTCCATGGGGTACTGTGAGCGCTCGGGTTCTGGCATGGGGATCTTTATCATCTCCTTCCTATATCCATTTGGCATCCCGTTGGGTTTGACCTTGATACTGAAGCTGTCATCAGGGGCAGGGACATCGGTGCCAATGCTGAGGTGCCCGTTGGCATGGCCATTTTTGTGTGCTTCCATGTGGTGCTCCATTTTCAGGGTCTCTATCATGTCTAAGAGCCGCTGCCCGTTGTCAGAGGACACTCGGCACAATGGGGGCTTTGCAAAGTCTTCTCGAGTGAGGTTGATCAAGTCCTGGCCTGTGAAATGTTCCAGAGGTTCACAGTATTCTGGCATGGCATTCTCTAGCAGCCAGTCTGCCACCTTCTTGGGTGACCAATAAACCACTTCCTTCATTGTACTGGCAGAAACATGCAGTCCCCGATTGCTCCCACAGGTCAGCAGTCACTGTTCCTCCCCAGCCAGACACTGTCCCTCCTTGGCACCTTTGTCCTGTTGGGCCTCATGGCAGAGACCTGTGTGACAAGATGGTCAGGGCAGTTTTTAAACACCTCATGAAGCTGTCTCGGGTTCCCAAATGCCTGAGCATGAATTCACCTCATTTTTGAAGAGGATTCTTCTTTCTGTGGAGGCAAGAGAAGAAGTTAAGACACTGGGACTTCCTAAACATTTCCCTCAAAGTGAAAAACTGTAACATGCATAAAGGAAAAATGGAAAATCAGATACTGGTAACACACACACACACACATATGGCTTTCAAGCGTGCATTAAAGGTCACTATGTATTTCCTGGCTAGACTTCACCTAAAGAGCATTAAATTGGGGTGGGAGCGATAGAACAGTGGGGAAGGCACCTGCCTTGCATGTGGCAGACCCATGTTCAGTGCCCAGCCATCCCATATGGTCCCCTGAAGACCACCAGGAGTGATCCCTGAGTGCAGAGACAGGAATAACCCCTGAGCATCACTCAAAAACAAAACAAACAAAAAAAACATATTAAATTGGACTTAAGATGGATAAAATAAAAGGGAGATGTTTTACATTTACTACAACAATGCATTTTCTAAGAAATAATTCAACTGTGCTTTAGACACTGCTCAATATGGCTATTATTCTCTTAATGTAGATAGGTCTCCAAAGATAACCTGAAAGAACATGGTACATCTGCTTAATTCTGCTATTCTAAAAGATGATGAACATTTTTTTTAAAAAAAGTAACACAAAACTACTTAGGTATCACAGAAGATAATCACAAAAATATTGACTCTCAAGATCATCTGATTCAATACTCTGCCACAAAAAAAAATATGTTAAGCTCCTTTTACCATATATACTTGAATCTCAAATCAGTTATAAACCCAGTTGCTTGGGTTGAAACCAAGGGGGAGTGAAGATAATGACTGTTTACTGATATTTACTGAGACTTCTCCGTTGTCTCCTACGATGTCTACTGATGGTGCCCCCTACATCCGGCCTCCAGATAACTTTGTGGAATCATAGGTTCAAAACAGGCTTCAATTCCCTCTTTAAAAAATGAGAAAACTGAGTTCCAGGAAGATCAAGGAACTTGCTTATGGCCAGGGCACCTTGCACTAAAGAAATACAAGTGAAGTTTTTGACTCTTGGTTCACTATGTCAATTAGAAAATTTAAGTATTAAATAGTAAATAAAAGGCAATAACCAAAGCGTGCATCTGTGAGATTCAGAAGCAGGATTTAAATTTTATAGTTATGTATACATGAATAGCCTACATACACATATAGTTAGTCTCAACTACAGTGAGTAACCATAATGCTACATACAACAATGGGAAAGAAATGCATCAAGATTACATTTGAAGTTACATTTGAAGGTGAGTCTGCGGTCCTCCTGCTACTTTTTTGACACCAGCAGCATACGTGTATTAATTTTATAAAAATAATCTGATATATGTTTTAAAAAAAGAAAGTTCAAAATGAAAAACTTTGTTTCAAAATAAAACATAGCCTTTGGCTGAAGACAGATTATTGTTCGATTTCAGTATCTCCCATAGTGGGTTATCTCTAGGTGACCCTCAATTTATTTATCTGTAAGACAGTTATAACCAACTATCCCCTTTACAGGATTGTTAACACTTTAAAAAAAAAACCTTATGTAAAAGTTGAATATATATAATCTAGCATCTAAAAGGGATCTGCTGGCACCCAAGTCCTTGCTCCTACTCCTTTCTCAAATTTTCTACCATATCCAGTAGAGACTATTCACGGCATATCAACAGAAGAAAACACCCTGCCCAATAACAGCTATTTTTTCCTTAAAAGATAAATGAATGTGGTATCAATTTTAAGAGACATATACAGGTGTATAGGTTTAAGAGCTAGAAATTGGTGATGACAGTGTTTCTCTATGTAGGCTTTGTATAATAATCTGATAAAATGCTCCAAGCTTCAAAAAAAGAACCGCAGACAAACTACAAAGTACAGTATTAACTAGGAAGAACAGGACACATTGGCCTAGTAGGAGCTCCGGAAAATTCTTTAGTAAAGAAACAACTACGAGGGGCTGGAGCGATAGCACAGCGGATAGGGCGTTTGCCTTGCACACTGCCGACCCGGGTTCGATTCCCAGCATCCCATATGGTCCCGTGAGCACCGCCAGGAGTAACTCCTGAGTGCCAGGAGTAACTCCTGAGTGCAGAGCCAGGAGTAACCCCTGTGCATCGCTGGGTGTGACCCAAAAAAAAAAGCAAAAAAAAAAAAAAAAAAAAAAGAAACAACTACGAGAGCCAGGAAGATAGGGCAGCACTTGTCTTGCATGTGAATGACACTGGTCTGATCTTTGACTGGTCTGGCTGGCTTCCCAAACATTTCCAGGTGCAGTCCAGATGGTCCCTGAGCACTACAAGGGGAGGCTCAGGTAACTGGCACAGTATTCTTGGGGTCTTGCATTAAACTGCTGGTTCAGTGGGTTCAGAGTGATGAGAGGGACTCCCAAGCTTCCTGATCAACGCTTGGAAGATCACCTCAAAGTGAAGAAATAATTCACCTGAATTTCTCTAACATGTCTTCTGAGACTGTCATCGTTCTCAGTCCTTTACCTCCCCATAATTCTATGCATTCTTCATAGATCAGAGTGGACGTAACAGCACAAATGAGACACAATACTATTAACTTCTGATTTCAAAGACTCTACTGAACCCCAAAGTCTGATTCTGGAATGGAGATAGACAGAAAGTCCACTTCACTCCCCAGTTTCCTAATTCAAGTCACAAATAATCAAACTACAGTAGAACTTAAAAAGATATTTCAGGCTTTGCAAATGAGCTTAGGAGTCTCTCTTCTGGAACATCTATAGGACACATGCCTTTCCTATCACAATTGTTGAAAGACGGGCTCACATCCAAAAGAACAAAAGCAACCAGTGTTGGTGCGGATGTGGGGAGAAAGGGACTCTCCTTCACTGCTGATGGGAAAGCCAACTGGTTCAGCCCTTTTGGAAAACAGTATGGACAACTCTCAAAAAATTAGAAATTGAGCTCCCATTTGACCCAGTTATAACACTCCTGGGAATATATCCCAGAGAGGCAAAAAAGTATAGTCGAAGTGACATCTGCACTTGTTTGTCCATTGCAGCACTGTTTGCAATAGCCAGAATCTGGAAAAAACCTGAGTGCCCGAGAACAGATGACTGGTTCAAGAAACTTTGGTACATCTACACAATGGAGTACTATGTAGCTGTTAGAAAAGATGAAGTCATGAAAATTTACATACAAGTGGTACTACAAGGAAAGTATCATGCTAAGTGAAATGAGTCAGAAAGAGAGGGACAGACAGAAAGATTGCATTCATCTGGGAAATATTAAAGTAACAAAATAGGAGACTGACACTCAAAAATAGTTGAGATAAGTACCAGGAGGTTTACTCCATGGCTTGGAGACCAGCTGCATATGCTCAGGGAAAAGTCATCTCAGACAGAGAAGGGAACACCAAGTAAAGGGTGTTGGGAGGATCCTCCCAGGATGGGAGAAGCATGCTGAAAGTAGACTATAGATCGAACATGAGTGCCACTCAATGCCTCTTTTACAAACCACAGTACCCAAAAGGAGAGAGAGAAAACAAAAGGGATGACCTGCCACAGAGGCAGGGTGGAGTGGGGGGGATGGGTGGTGGGAGGGATACTGGGATCACTGGTGGTGGAGAATGGGCACTGCTGGAGGGATGGGTACTGGATCATTGTATAACTGAAACCCAAGCACAAAAATTTCTAAGTCTGTAACTGTACCTCATGGTGTTTCACTAATAAAAATTAAAAAAAAAAAAAGAGTCTCTGTCAAACCACAAGAGACTGTGAGTGACTGGGGAAGGGCTGCAATCTTAAGCATCCACATTTTACACCCCAGGTCTCAGAAAGTAATCAGCAGCTATTTGCTCACTATCTCAGAAAATGTCCCTTGGGATCAGAAACGCACAAACGGTTCAATAAGAATACAGCAACCACACACGCCTCTGCTACTGAATACTACCATGGAACACTTAGAGAGCTCAACAGACTCAAGCACAAAAGTGCATGTATTTTGTCTTTTTGGCATGCGGATGGCTCAGGTTCAATCTCCAACACTACATGTCCCCTGCATATTGCCAAGAGTGACCCCAAGCACTGAGCTGGAGTAAACACAATAGAGCACTGTGGAATATGGCCCCTGAAACCAATAATGTGGATGATGAAAGAGACTGAGGTGGAAATGCTCCAGAGAATTATGAAACTGAAGTGAGTCTGGTCACTTACAGAAGGGGCTGGAGTGATAGTACAGTGGGTAAGGCAGCCCACCTGGTTCAAGCCCTGGAACCTTGCTATAGTCCCCCAACCCATACAAGGAGTGACTACCAAGTGTAGAGCCAGGAGTAAGTCCTGCACATTGTGAGGTATGCCCTCCCCCCCGGTACCACCTCTGAAAAACAAACAACCCCCCACAAACAAACAAACAAACAAACAACAATAATAACAAAACCCCAAACCACTACAGAGGGTCCAGAGCAAAAGTAGAGGGTAGGTTGTTTGCGTTGCATGTGGCAGACCCCTAGCACAGCGGTAGGGCCTTTAGCGCAGCCAGCCCGGCCGAGCGAGGTTCGATTCTTCCGCCCCTCTCGGAGAGCCCGGCAAGCTACCAAGAGTATCTTGCCCGCACGGCAAAGCCTGGCATGCTATCCACGACGTATACCATATGTCAAACACAGGAACAATAAGTCACACAATGGAGACGTTACTGGGCCTGCTCGAGCAAATCGATGAACAACGGGAGGGCGGTGTTTATTTGTTTTTTGTTTGTGGCTGGCACCATAGGGTACTCCAAGCCTGCCAGAAGTGATTCCTGAATGCAGAGTCAAGAATAAGTTCTAAACAAAGTCAGGTGTGACCTCCCTAGCATAAAAGAATGAAACCAAATCAAAAGCCCACTACAGAAGAGCATGCCATCACTAGTCCTGCCCAGAATGACAAGACACATGCCAAACAGGAGTCCTGCAAAAGGTGCTGTGGGAAAAGGGGACTCTCGGCAGGAGACCCAGCCTTCCCTACAAGTAGGCCTCAGAGGAGGGGCAGCAGCGCCAATAACACTGCAGCCATGAGAACTCTAAAGCAAAGTTTTC